CTTGGAGAGATACCAGGGAAGCTACAAAGATGGGCTTCTCACTGCAGGTGCGGGAGCTGGAAGGGGAGGTTGATGCTGAGCAGAAGCGCAGCGCTGAAGCTGTGAAGGGCGTGCGCAAGTACGAGAGGAGGGTGAAGGAGCTGACCTACCAGGTAAGGCAGGAGGCCTCCTTGGGCTCACACACCCTCATCTCAGGAAGCCAAACATTTTCACATGAACTCCAAGGCGAAATGTTATTTTGTGGTGTGGAGAAACCAAGAATTCATTCTCTTTCCTGTTTGCCAACTGCTTTAGTCTGAGGAAGACCGGAAGAATATTCTCAGGCTGCAGGATCAGGTGGACAAGCTGCAAATGAAGGTGAAATCCTACAAGAGACAAGCTGAGGAGGCTGTAAGTATTGCTTGGAGAATAGGCAAGCGTTGCTTTCTGTGGGTGTCACACAGGTGCTGAGGAGATGAATATCAGAAATTTGGAAAATGCCAGTGGTCAACAATCATGGGTTTTAGGGTCTTTGTCATCCAGACAAACCCCCCCTGATACCTGAGCACGAAGCAAGTGGGAGAATAAGTGCACAAATGACCAGACTAAGTGACAAAAAGTGTCCTGAAGTGTGACACAGTACTGGTGAAGCTTGTCACATTGTGGTCCTGAATAATGGAAGATAAGGAGGTCTGTGTGAGGCTTATGTGTAAGCAGTGGTGGGTGGGGGATGGAGGTCTGAGCCTTTCCCCAGGGAAGAGCCACAGCCCCACAAGGCCGAGGCACATGAGGAGTGAAACCCCTGCCCGGGACTCCTCACCACCGACTCCCTCTCCCCGCACAGGAGGAGCTGTCCAATGTCAACCTCTCCAAGTTCCGCAAGATCCAGCATGAGTTGGAGGAAGCTGAGGAACGGGCTGACATTGCAGAGTCGCAGGTCAACAAGCTCCGAGTGAAAAGCCGGGAGTTTCACAGCAAGAAGATAGGAGAGGAAGAGTGAAGATGTCATGAGGCAGCAAAGTGACCTGAGGGCTGCACAGAATGTGAACCCTCTGTTGCTTTTTTCTGTATTTAGTCTTTGTAACCATGTCAATGTCTAGAGAATAAAGACTGTAGATTCCTTTGCATACACAGCAGAAATAGTGCTTTTACTTGTTACAATTCAATTCTGCAGTTTCTTAAGTTTTGGTTGTTTTCAAACAATTAATTTCAGGTGTAAGCTCTAGAAAATAATTTATCGCCTGGAGTAAGATCCAGAAACTGTACTGCTCCAGCTACTGTAACAGTTACAGCCATCAGAGCAAACAAAATTTTTTGCACTACACTACAGTGTTTCCCAGCAATGGAATTGTAACTTAAAGATAGAGTTAGTTTCTATAAGAGAAATTGTAAACCAATGTTTTACAAGTTTTACAAGGATACATATCAAGAGAAACTGGTTTTCATTATTTAAAACTGGAAATGAGAACAACTCTGGGAACATGACAGCATGAAAGAAACCTTTGAGTCTGACACTCTGAGAATACAGGGAAACACTAAACACAGTAGCTCCACAGTGCCAACCAGTGCTTCCTGTCTGCCTTTTGCAACAATGGATGAGTTTTGTTGTATAAGTGAATTGAACGCCGGGTAGAAAGAAGTAGCCAACAGTCACTGACTTTTTTTTCATCCCACATGGGTTAACAATGCAAACAATTAAGATCAGAATATAATGTGTGGACAGGACAAAAATGAGGAAAAGCTGACCATGAGGAAGAGCTTCAAGGCAGAAAGGATGGCTCCCAACCCCAGCCATTCGCATCAGTGCCACGAGGGGACTGTGCAGTCTGAGCAGATGGCAAGCCTGGATACCACTGGTGCCTCCACCCTGAGGCAAAGAGCATTGTACCCACTGGGAGATGACAATGGCACTCATATTAGTGTTTCATTTATCTGGAATAGGTGTTTAACAGAGGCAACTGCCTAATTACCTGCACAGGAAAGAGCAGTGCAGCTTAAAATACGGAACAGCCATTCTGGCAGCACTGGACCCTGGTGCATTGCGTAGCTGC